TTTTTTTTTTTTTTTTTTTTTTGTGTGTTCATGGACGAGCAAGCTACAAATCCTCTGATAAGGACTTTAAATTGGCTTGTATCGTTGTTTAGGGCTTGGCTGATTAGAAAGAAAGGATAAAAATGGCTCAAAATTCCCCATTCCCCATTGAATCCCCTAACTAACACTCGTCTCACCCCAAGCTCTTGATGTAGGACAATTTAGAAAGAAAATTGTCTTGGCTTTTATAAGTTAGATGATTGCCTTTTCTTTTGGCTCAAAAAGGGTTTCTAGGGATGATTTCATGTTTAAAGGATAAAGAAGAATAGCCTTTCGTCATTGGATTCTTTAGTCCCTCATCATGAACACTTTCTTTGTTTTGCCTAGACCGCCCTATTGGGTTTTCAGCTTAGGCTTTCTCTCTCTCTCTCTCTCTCTCTCTCTCTTTTTTTTTTTGTTTACACATGGTATTTCTTGACAACATCTGCATTCATTGGATATGGGAGATCATCACCATCAGGATAAGCTAATAATAAAGCTCCTCCTAAAAAGGTTGCCTTCGCAATGTAAGGACTGTTGTAGTTTGGAGCAAAATTTCCACTTGGATCCCTCTCATTGGGCAAGATCTCTTTCAAAACAACCTCTCCTTCTTGAAACCTTCAAGGCCTGACCTTCCTATTATATGCCGCAACCATTCCTTGCTGATAACATTGTATGTGACAAAGTGCAACTAGTCTCTTCTCATCAAGGAGATTAAGGTAATCTAATCGTTTCTAAGTCAACTTTGATTCTTTCAATTCTGCTTCAGCTAAAACCCTTAAGGATGGTATCTCAACTTCAATTGGTAAAACTGTCTTTATACCATAAACCAAAGAGTAAGGTGTTGCCCCAGTAGAAGTTCGAACAGATGTTCTATAGGCATGTAGAGCAAAAGGTAGCATTTCATACCAATCCTTGTAAGTTACTGCATTTTTGCAAGGGTCTTCTTGATATTTTTATTTACAGCTTCGACAGCTCCATTCATCTTAGGCCGATAAGGTGTAGAATTTAAATGTTGGATCTTGTACTACTTACAAATTGATGCCATCAAAGAATTGTTAAGATTCTTTGCATTACCTATGATGATTTTTTCTAGTTGACCATATCTGCAAATAATCTTCCTTTGAATAAACTGTGCCACTACTTTATTCTTCACATTTGCATATGAAGTAGCCTCTACCCACTTGGTAAAATAATCAATTGCAACCAGAACAAACTGATGACCATTTGAAGCCTTTGGGTTAGTGGACCCAATAACATCAATACCCCGCATAGAAAATGGCCAAGGAGCTACCATACTATGTAATGGAAATGGAGGAGCTTTAATATGATTTGCATAGATTTGACATTTGTGGTATTTCCTCACATAATCAATACAATCTGTCTCTAGCTTCAACCAAAAATATCATGCTCTAAGTATCTTTCTAGCTAGCATATGTCCATTAGCATGAGTTCCACATATTCCTTCTTGAGCTTCCATCATGATTCTCTTTGCCTCAATAGCATCAACACATCTTAACAAGGTCATAACTGCAAAACGCTTATATAAGTGTCTCCACTCAAGAAGTAAGACATGGCCATTCTTCGAATTGTCTTTTTATCAACGTCAGTAGCATGAATTGGATATTGCCTATGTAAGATGTATTGTTTGATGTCATAGTACTAAGGTTGGCCATCTATTTCTTGCCCAATCTCCTTGTAATAAGCATGGTTCTTATGCACATCTATCATGAGTGGTTGAATTTGATCTTCATTTGATATGTGTGCAATGGACGCCAAAGTTGCTAAGGCATCTGCAAATTGATTCTTTGATCGAGCCATGTACTCAAAAGAGATAAATCTAAACTTCTTAGTTTGAGAATCAAGGTACTAGTAATAAGGCAGTAACTTCATGTCTTTTGTCTTCCATTTTCCCTTGATTTGAAATATGATTAGGGAAGAATCTCCATAAACTCCAAGATCCCTAATATTCATATCAAGAGCTGCTTGTAGACCTAAGATGCAAGCCTTATATTCAGTGATGTTATTGGTGCAGGAAAAATCAAGCTTCACTACAAATGGAAAATGTTCTCCTTTAGATGAAATGAGAACTGCTCCCACTCCACTTCCAGTTTGGTTTGCAGCTTCATCAAAATACATCTTCCAATTAGAAGTTTTATAGTTGCTTTCTTCAACTACCATTATATCCTCATCAGGAAACTCCCAATCAACTGGTTGATAATCTTCAACTGCGTTTTCTGCAAGATGGTCTGCAATGACTTAACCTTTTACTACCTTTTGAGTCATGTAAATAATCTCTAACTTTGATAACAACATATGCCATCAAGCAGTTCTTCCAGACAAAGAAGGCTTCTCAAATACATATTTGATGGGATCCATTCGAGATATTAGCCATGTAGTATTGGAAAGCATATAATGACGAAGCTTCTTAGCAATCCAAGCCAATGCACAACACGTCTTCTCTAGAGATGAATACCTACATTCACAATCATTAAACTTTTTCTAACATAACAAATAGCTCGCTCCTTTCTACCAGAATCATTATGTTGAGCAAGAATAGCCCCTATGGAACCTTCGAACACAATCATATAGAGAATCAATGGTCTTCGATCCACTGGTGGCACAAGAATTGGTGGATTCTTCAAATACTGCTTAATTTTGTCAAAAGGTTCTTGGCATTAATCATCCCACACACCAGGATTATTCTTCTTTAACAATCAGAAGATTGGATCACAAATAGTTGTCATCTAAGCAATGAATCTACTGATATAATTAAGCCTACCTAAGAAATTGTGCACCTCTTTCTGTGTTTTTAGTGGAGGCATCTCTTCAATAGCTTTGGTCTTGGCATGGTCTATCTTGAATTCTCTTCTACTAACAATAAACCCTAGGAGCTTGCCAAATGTTACCCCAAAAGTGCATTTTGCTGGATTGAGCCTCAGGTGGTGCTTCCTTAATCTTTAAACACGATTTTAAGATTCACCAAATGATCTTCATTTTCTCAATACCTTATTATCATGCCATCTACATAAATCTCAATGATTTTGTGAATGAGGTCATGTAACAATGCAATCGTTGCTCTTCGATAAGTTGCCCTCATATTTTTCAATCCAAATGGAATTACCTTGTAGCAAAAGGTACCCCACAAAGTGATAAATGTGGTTTTGATCTTATCTTCCTCTTTCATCTTGATTTGATTATAACCAGAATAACCATCAACAAATGAAAATTTAACACTTTTTGCAGCATTGTCATCCAATAGTTGGATATATGGTAGAGGAAAGTCATCCTTTGGACTTGTTTTGTTCAAATCTCTATAATCCACACACATTCTAACTTTTCCATCTTTCTTTGGCACAGGCACAATGTTGGCAACCCATTGAGGGTACATGGCTACTTCAATGAACCCCACATCTAGTAGCTTCTTCACTTCCTCTTTGATTTTCAACAAAGTTTCTGGCTTCATTCTTCTGAACTTTTGTTTCACAGGTAGACATTCTGGCTTTAGTGGAATAGCATAAACTATTATCTCCAGATCCAACTGAGGCATATCTTCATAAGACCAAGCAAACACATCTTGAAACTCTTTTAACAAGTCAACAGGAGCTTTTCTTTCATCTGGATGAAACTGCCCATTGATCTTAATCTTCTTTTTATTCACGTCTTTTCCCAAATTAATTGTTTCTATTTCAGACTGATTATGTTGTAATTTTGGTTCTTCTTCTTTCAACCTGTTAATCAATTCAGGAAAAGGTTCTAATTCTTCATCATCTTCCATAGAATAAATCGGTTCATCAAAACTATCACTATTTGTAGATTTATTATTAGCAAACCTAGAGATGGAAATTTTGGCTAGCATGAGAAAATGGAATAAAGCAAAAGAAAATGAACAAACTTGCATATGAAGAGAGGGAATGAAAATGAAAGTAACATCATTTATTGAAATGAACTAAATGGAACATTATTCGTCATGCCTACGATGCTTCATAAAATATAAAAGGCTTGTTTTAACCATCTCTTCTCATGGCCACAAGCTCAAACATAAGAGGATTGACACATTTTATGATTTAATGATAGGAATGGGAAGAATCTCTATTATCCAGTTGTCCAAAGATTCACCGTGAGCAGGCAGAATAACCTTCTCATCATCCATCCCTTCATTGATGACGCATATACTTAACTTCTCAAAAGAAGTGCTCAAACCATCATTATTTGTTGGCACTAAAGACTTGAACAAATCAAGAGTTCCCATATCTTCATCATCTGATGCGTCCTCTACAATCACCTCATCATTAGAAGCAATTGGAACCCAATCGCTTCTTAAATTCTCCTTTTTAAGTGCTATGCCAATCAGCTTTGTGTCATATCCACACACCACTTCAACAGGCTTTGGAAAAGTTGCTCGAATAGGAGGAATATGTGGTTATTCCTCATTTGGTTCTCTTCCTTCTAGCTTAGCCTAACACCTTTCAGCTTTCCTGGTCCTCGTCCACAACCAATCCTTCCGAGTGGGCTTATATCCCAAGCCAAACCCCACTGATGTATCAATCACCTCAATTGGTTCCTCAATTCCTTACAGTCCAATTCCTAAGCCTTTTCCAACTTCAAAATGATTTTCCAACATCACCTTAGCAACCCTTTTACTCACTCTAAACAGATCTAGTGTTCTTAATGCCGTGCCTTCCGCAACATATGTGGTTAAGACAAACTCCATAGAGTGGTAAGTTGCTTCTTGGTTTTGGGAGGCTACTTCTACATATGGCACAGATGTAGCCTTATGGATGGCATAATCCTTTTCACCATTCCCCACAACCAAAGAATTGCCCACAATATATTTCAACGTCTAATGCAAAGTAGAAGGTACTACGCCAATTATATGAATCCAAGGCCTTCCAAGCAACATATTAAATGCAGGCTCAATATTCATAACTTGAAAAGTTATGTCAAATGTATATGGGCCAATGTTAATTGGTAATTCAATCTGTCCATCTACCTCTTTTCTTGTGCCATCAAAAGCACGAACTACTGTCTTACAAGGCTTAATGTGTGACTAGTCCACCTGAAACTGATTCAAAACTAATTGAGGAATAATGTTCAATGCCAAACCACTATCAATAAGCACTTATGGGACATGCATGTCTTTGCAAAGAATTGAAATGTAACGAGCCTTCACATGTCTTCTTCCATCTTCAAGGATTTCATCATCAGTAAAGTTGATAAAATTTGGTGCTAGGATAGTCCTTATCACATTGTTGAATTTTTCCATATCAATATCCTTTGGCACATGAGCCTCATTCAAAATCTTTAACCAAGCATTCTGGTGGGTTTTTGATGTCAACAAGAGTTGTAAAATAGAGACCTTAGCAAGAGTATGATTAAGTTACTCCACCACATTGTACTCACTTCTCTTCAGAATGCTAACGAAATCATTTATTTCCTGCTTTGAAACGGACTTCTTAACTTGCTCCTCATATATTTCCCCAATAATGATTCCTTTTGTGATACATTCCCTATGCATTGACTTTCTCCATAACTACGCCTACTTCTAGTCATAAGAGAGATATCTTCAACAAGGAATTGCTGTATGGAAACATAGGTACTAGTCCTATAATTCTGAGGAATAGCCTTATAAGAATTGAAGGTTGGTTTTGATGGTGGATAAAGAGTTAAGGGTGGTTGTTGAGAAGGTGAGGCTTGCTTGCTTATTTCAAAATGAATGGCTTCTTTGCACTAGTTGCAATAGTTGGCCCCTTCACTATCAAAGGCTGTCTAGGAGTTGATGACACTTGATTAGTAATGGTAACTGCAATCACCTCATGACATTTATGAGAGTCTTTCTCAAAATTTGAATATTTTATTATCATGTTTATTGTTGGACCATCTGTCATGCCCCAAAACCGAGAGCAAAACAAACACCATATACTTACGAGAGGATCCCACAAATGCGCAAGGCTCAAAGCTTATTTATACCACCAAATCTACTCTAATACCATAAAATCTCAAAGTAAAATCTATCTTACAAAAGAATGATCTATGTTTCAAAAAATCTATGCCCAAAACACAAGTAACTAGCCTTCTAGCTCATCACTCCCCTTGGTTTCCCATGTCTCAGGTCACACTACTTGAAATGGTGGACAAGCAAAAACTATGTGAGGTAACTCTGTAAGTAAAATATGGATAGCCCTGATTTAAAGTCAAAGCATGCCGAATAAACAATTTAAACATAAACCAGAAGAAATATCTCAATTATAAACCATTAAGGTAAAATAAAAGTCAATAGTGGTCTCCTCTTTAGGTCATGGCCCGTGTTTACAAACTCCCACTAGCAGGTGTCAATAACAGGGAAGTTGATATTGTACCGCATCGATTTTTATATTAAACCAAAATGGTACATGGTTTAATTTTGTTTCGGCCAAATTTCGATCATTTCGGTCAAATTTTGGCATACCAATCACTATTTCAGTGTATTGGTTGGTACAGGAAAATTGGTCCGTACAACGCAATTCAAATTTTAAAAAGGGTAAATTTCATTTTTTGTCCTCAACTTTAATATTTTACATAATTATCATCCTTTAACTTTTTAATGTACTTTTTTAGTCCATCAACTATGAAAAATGCTTTTTTTTTTAGTCCTTCTATCAATTACTCCGTTAAGTTTATTTAAATATACATATTTTTAGTCCCTTAACTTAAAGTGGATTGATGAAAAATATGCATATATTAAAAGTTGAAAGACTAAAAATGGTCATTTTAAACTTGTTTTCAATTTATAGGAATATGATGGCTTTAAACATTAGTATCTCTTATCTTATTTTAAAATTAATATTTAATTTATAAAAATATATATTTATAGTGATAAATTCGAAATGATACACGAAAAATTTTGATATTTGGTACGTACCGTTTCAGTAGCAAAATCGATACGCATGCCGGTACGGTATTGACTACCTTGGTCAGTAATAACCAGTGTATTATCCTACTAGCAGGATTACAAAATGAACCGATCTTACAAGTATACATGTCGACATGTGCTAGCGTTTGCAAACTCTCACTAGTGGGTGTCAGTAATCATGACCATATTGGAGATAAAACCATGCAAGAGTTACAAGAAAAATCCATAATTTACAAACCAATTTCAGCTTATCAGAATAGTTCAATAAACTCCAAGTAGGCATGCTCAAATCAATAAATGATAACAATTTCATTTTAAACCAATCATGCTTGGTTTTGTGTAAATGGGTTTAGTCCCGCCACCACTTCAAAAAATAGTTTAAAATATGCTTTAAAACCTTTACCTTAAAATCCAAGGACATTTATCATAATTTTACTTACCTCACCTTGTAGGTATATGACAAGCAAGCAATTGAAGAAGTCAAGGTGCTTGAGGTGATTTAAAACCTATACCACATCAAATAAATACTTAGAATATGCTTGAAACAACTCAAAAAAGACACACGAACAGCAGGTATCCCAAATGGATTTTCTAGACAAAATAGGGTGGAAAAATTGTGAGAAATTGAGCTCTTAGCTATGCTAGACACAGCAGAAGTATTAGGCAGCAAAGTGGGTGTTTTTGCCATTTAAAGCAATTCCCAACTATTTGGAATAAGCCTTGAACAGCAGGGATTTTTGGGCAAAAACACAGCAACAAAATAGGGTAGAACACAAGCTAGAACTGGGCAAAATTGGACAACATTTAAGCAACAAAAAGGACAACCAAGGTAAAGTAATAACAAAGGGTTTTAGAGCAAAAAAAAGCAGTTAAAAGTCTACTAAAACTATGATGAAAGATAGCAGCTAATAAAGTGGGAATAAAACAGAAAAGAGGAAATTTCTATCAAGTTCTGGTCAAATTTCATGCTGGAAATTCCAACAGAATTCACGCCTAGAAATTGATTGATTTGGGTTGAGTGGTCAACAGATAAATTGTACCCCTATGTCTTATCATTCAAGAGCCTCAAGAATTACCTTAATTTGACATCTACAGAGAGAGTTATGGCCAAAATACTAACATAGGATCGGGCTGTCAGTTAAGTCTATCAACGGGAATCAAAGTTTTAGCAGATTTTTCACCATGAAAACAACTGAACTGGGTTAAACGTCCAACATAAAAGTTGTAAGGCTATCTCTTAGTTTTCTATAGAGTTAAAAATGGACTTAATCTGGTAATTACAAAAAGATTTATAGGAAAAACACCACTATAAGGTCATGCAGTCTGAATTTGCAGCAAAAAGAGGGATATGAGCTAATGATGTTAGATTGTGGGCAAAATCAAGGGGAAACTAAATACAGACTCCCAAAATTGAAAACTCTAAATGACTGGAGCTAGCCCAACTTAAATCAACAATGTAAAGATGAGAAACGTGGCTAATTTCTTACCAAAAAGTTGTAGAAAGAGCACTCATTGAGCCTTCAAGTCACGGACAAGGAAGAAGAACAGAAAGTAGCGATTTTGATGAGAAGAAATAGTTTCGGAGAGAGCTTAAAAGGTTGATGGCTTCAAGGGTTTTGAATTTAGGGTGGAAGAAGAGAGGAAAACTAGAAAAATAAGAAAAAGACCCCGAAAAAGAATAGAGAAAACAAAAAAGGGAATTAGGTTTCCTTTGCCTTTTATTATGTCCATCCAACCCCTTTCTTTTTTTTTTTTTCCCAACAACCCCAAGAGTAAAGAATGAGACAACTTGGTCCCCCAATAAAATCCCCTTTCATATTAGTCATCTCACTCCTAAATTAATTAATTAATTATACATAGTACTCAAAATTTGGGGTTATTACATCCACCCCTCCTTAAAAGGAGTTTTGTCCCTAAAACTCAAATCTAGGATCATCTAGAGTGGTGAATGGCTTCACGCAATCTAAGATGAACAAGTGCCCATCATATGAAAAACCATTGTAGGGTTGATAAAATACAAACTCAATAACTTAAATGGGATCAGAATATAACTTTAAAGCATATATGTATTGGAAACAACTTGAGCACCCATTAGGTTCTTTGGCAACCTCTAATTTATACGCTGCCCCACTAACTTTCTTATGAATAGAACATGGCCTATTACGCTCCCACTACGCAACTTTAATGTCAAAAGGCAACTAGTCTTAAAAGTGGAACACTAGCTACTTAGTGGGAATAACCAAGAAACTAACTTGCAAAGCAAACTTCTAGGGACTAGGGTGCTACAAAGGACACAAAGAGTAGAAGTAATAGTGTCAAGGCTACAAAGAACAATACCATGAACTATGTTATGAACCCAAAACAAAGATGAGCTGGCAAGGAATGGCATGGAAAGAATTTTGACACACTGGTCAAATTGTGACCTAAATCTTGGCCTCCAACACAATGGCTAGCTTTGTGAAACGATTTCTCAATATTCTTGAGAGTACTAATGAAAATCACAAAAAACACTTTAGAACAAGCCATGTGGAAGTTTTCCCCATTGCTGCAATAAAATTTGGATAGCAAAGATATGCTTGAGGATATAACTTAAATCGAGAGTCTAGGAAAAGGATATAACTTAAATTGAGAGTCTAGGAAGATCAAGGAAAAATCAAATCAAATCAAATCAAAGGAACCATAGAAGATCTAGACTCTTCCCACATCAAATCTTGAGTTCCAAATAAGTACCTCTATAACTAAAACATTTATTCCAAGCTCCAAGGTAAGACATCAAGAAAACTAAGACCATCTAAAGCGGTGTCTCTAGCTTTAAGACCATAATATCGAATGTCTAAGAAACAACACAT